CGGACGAAGGCGGGGGGTAGCCCCTTCCCGGCATCGGGGGGTAGGCACCGCGCAGGGGGGGCTCCCCGTGTGGGACGCCGGCCGGTTGGCTCCCCGGTGTCTTGAAGCCCGGTGGCAAGGGCATGGGATTCCCTCGGGCCATGCCAGGCGGCATCGGCGGAATGGCTCCTTTGAACCCCGGAGGCATCGGAGGAAGTGGCGGGCCGCTCATCGTGAAGATGCAAGAAAGGGTTGGGCTTGGTGCTCTTCGCCGCTTTGTTGAATGTAACTTAGGATGACAACAACAATGACGATTAAAAATAATGGCAAGAATTATGAGGAACTAATGTTCTATTGGTCTCTAGAATTTATTTACTTCCTTGTTCTGATTGTGTTTTCAAGAATGTAGAGAAACCCAAAAACGTGTAAATGAAAATAAAGCACGACATCCTAATAAACGTATTGGTCAGCGCATCAAAAAGTAGTAACAGTAATAAAATTAGGATAAATTGCACACAAATTTGACCTTAGACTATATTAAAAAAATATAGAAACACGACTTGGAATTTATGTGATAATACTTAAATACAACAATATCAACCGACCCATTATTATAATTCAATCTTTAATGGACGGACGTGGAAATAATCATCATCAGAGATCATTAGAAAGTGAAATATCCCCTTCTGAGGGGACACTGCGCCTCAAGACGAAAACGGCATCACTCAGAGTCGAGTACTCCAATTCGAAGTTACCTTCACACAAATATGGAACCCGTGTCCAGCGAACCACCTCAAAACCGCATGGTTGCAGCACGTTTTCTACTAACTTGCTCATCGACATCTCAAAGGAGGCCCCGTTCCGGCACTCACCACCCGCCATAGGAAGCTGCTCCTTCGGCTCCTGCTTTTTGTTGTTGTATTCTACAAAAGGACACCACGGAAGAACGACGGCTAATAATAAAAGCCCCCCCGTATTCAGACTCTCCCTCATTTCCCGAAGAAGCGTCAGAGGGGTGTCCGCACGGTCAAGGACGTTCATGCAGCTAATCACGTCGTACAGGCGTCTCTTTTTGGTCTTCTCATCATGGAAAGGATCCTCATGAGAAAGAACTTCATACCCGTGGCGCTTCAGCCGCCAGCGCATGGTCGCCGAGTACTCCGTCACGAAGACCTTTTCAAAAAGCGGGGAAAGCTTCGCCGTGACGCCGCCATCCCCGGCGCCGATATCCAGCAAAGTCTTGAAGATCGGCTCATTTGACAGCCGAGAGGACGGCGCGTGGTCTACATCCCCCGATCGAGGTGCCGCGGGTGAACGTAAAAGCGAGTGGGCCTGCGCTGTGGAAAGGACAAACATGCCCCCACGGCCAACCAAGCCGTTCGCGGTCGTGCGGGACACCACAGAACTGCAAATATTAGCGATCAACAACTTCCACACGCTAAACTTCGAAGCGCTCTGGATAAAAACATCGGTCTCAGCATCGCAGAGACTTTTCTGAAATAAATTGTAGAGTGGCGTGGGTATTTTTGTGAAATCCAAGTCGTATAAAAGTTTAGGTCGCACACGCTTACCCTCGGAGTGCAGAATACTCTTTTCGAATGATCTCATTGGTGCGTTAGATTAAATGTCTTCTGCTTTCTCCTTTTAATACGTATGGGAAAACACTCAAAAAAAGAACCTCAGTGATGTTCGAGTAGATCTTTTATTTCCTTCTTATTACTACCGCTTGTTGACACACTAAGAAAAAAATTAAAGTAGGAGATATAAAGATAATTTTAGATCTAGAAACAATACCTCATGTTGTTTTGCTGGGGGCTTGCCCTATTGAGTGAATAGACTGCTGCACCAGAAACCTGCACAGTCGCCTTCTCGTTCGTATCGCTATTTCATTATCACTTAGATACGGAAATTATTTCAGCAAATATGAGGATAAAATATTAATAACAATAATAATATATGGGACCAAACGAAAAAATAATGGAAAAAGTTGTAGTGCCTTTAACTTGATTTAACTACTTGACCCATAACTTTACTTGGAAGGTACAACCAGTATATTTTTACTTGAGTTAATATGTACACACGCACAAAGTAGCACCCTCCTTTGCTCTGGAATATACCTTCCATGTATGAACAAGGCATAAGTAGCTGAGCTACGTATCTCGGTCGGTGGTTCAAAATTTACCTAATGTTTTCGTTTACCTAATATATATATATATATATATATATATATATATATATATATATATA